CCTGCTGAAGGAAAATTGCTCTGGGTAATGGCAGCACCTGGTAGCAGGCAGACTTAAACTCATACATAGCTGTACATAAACCCTTTTTTTTTGACTCAGGACACAAAAGGTGCTGTCACATCAAGACATGTGTATTTTAATAATGCAGCTCTACCAGAGGTGAGTGTTAAATTTCCCACATCTGTGCATGTAAACCAAACACACTATTGTAATTTAAATTATAATAGAATTTATAATTGGTGTGTAACATAAATGTTTGCTTGTGAGGTGATGCATAGGTAGGCACTGATCAGAATTCATGTGTTGAACAAAATTTTGTTCTCCTGAGTCCAATATAGACAGATTAGAATTTACAAATGATAAGGCCCTGTTAATGCCACATGAAGGATTTCACATGTCTACAGTTCACTGTAATTATAGCTATCTTAACAGTAGTGTTTGTAAATAGGAACTGATTAAAATAAATTGCATATCCCTTGATATGGAATCCCTTGTTTTAATGTGAAGTGTTTGCAAAATGCTTATGAAGTGACCTTCATTCCTGAAGGGAAGTCATATGCTACCTTATACTTTTGAGAAGTCTTACCTTTGTTTTTCACAATGAACAAATATTTGTGCAGTTGATAGGTTTGTTACCCAGCCAACAATTAAATATCAACTTTTCAGGAAATTTCTAAAATTTTCCTTCCCACCCGCAGACCTTGTTTCCTATGTCTTCATATTCCTCCCAAAGTTGGCATGGCTAGTGGAAATCAGTGGCTTCATTTTTGTAAACACAATCGATTATCTGTGTTTGAAGCACGTGCATAACTAAAAACAACGCTTCTCTGCTGCTGTTGCTTTTTTCCTGTCTAGGGTCGGGGTGGTTGACCTTTGAGCGGTGCCATTCAGAGGCTCCAGCACTCGGGCCTTTGCCTATGCATAGCACCAAAATGTGTTTCACTGATAAAACATTCGGTTAGGCTTGGAAAACATTAACTTCCCAAGTAGTTCTCTTGTGAAATTCCTCCCTCAGTTACTGTTCTTTGCCATTTAATGCTGGCTGAGAGAGAATCCTGCCTAAGGCTCCCAGCGAGGTCACATTTAGATTGAGAGCTCTGCGTTCTGGATCTAAGATGTTGCAATGGATGATGCAGAGTGCCAAACTGGTACAAATTTTTCTTTAGCAATGCATTTTTTTAAAGAGAACTTTGCCCTGCTCATTTATAAGTAGCCTCAGTTTTTGCTTTCCTCAATTCCTACTTTTTTTTTTTTTTAGTTCATTCTTTCTGAAGTTTGGAGACCCTAAAACTCCTTCCATCACTTCTTCTTGATACAGTTATTGATGAAACATTTTATATTTTACTGCAATTATACTGTTACCTTTTTATTTAAAATATTTCCTAACAACTACTGATTTTTTTAGAGCATCAACCAATTACTGTGAGGATTTTATAGTGTGGGATTATTTAGAAGAATGTAATTCCCGTGGAAAATATTGGTTGTTGTAATTTGTTGGCATTTTCACTGTGTTCTAATGTGTTTTCAATTTTATGAATCGTAAGTTTAGATCCTATTTCACACAGAGATGATACGAATTACTGGGGTGTTAGGTTAAGAATGCTTTTACATGAGTTTTGGCAGGAGTAAGAGGGCAGAAAGGATTGCTGCCAGTTGAGCAGAAGACGGTGTCATTAGGCTCTCCTGGAAATCACCAGGCAGTTTGATGTGCTCCAATTGTTAGCCCACAGGAAACAATGTAGTATACAGTGGCCCCTGTCTTTTAAGGTGATCTCTAACTCTCTTAGCTCTAACTAAAGGCAAAACTGAGGAGTTGTTTGAACCCCCATTGGTTTTATTGGTGTGCAGAATTCTTTGCTTTGCTGTTGTTTGTTCTAAAAATCACAGAAGCAGATTATCCTAGGGAAATTAATGATGCGGTTCTGGGCGTTTAATTTGACCTGTGTTTGTTTGTGGTTTTTTCTAATTAAAAAATCAAATACATATGCTTTGTAGTCCTTTTCTTTGCCTATGTTGATGAGTCGACCACTGGCCATGTATAAATAGCATCAGATTCCCGAGGCTTGTCGCCGTGAAATGCCCATTAATGATAAGTGTGAGCTAATTTACAATGTTACATGTGACTGCAGACACAGCTGGCTGGGAGATTAATTTTTAGAAGAAGTACAGTATATGTATAGGTGTGTTTTGTCTCCTGAGAAAATTCAGTGTAACGCTTTTAAAGTAGCACACATTTTACAGTCAAATAGAAACAACTATTTTGCATGTCCTCCTTCTGCTCATGCAGCTTCAAGACATTTAAATAGGTGTTTATGCTTATTTTTTTTTCATTTTGTAGTAGCTTATCTACTCTGTTTCTATTTCTTATCTTTCTGTTTCTTATCCCTCTGTTTCTAGGTTGGACTTTCTTCCAGTGTGATCTGCACGTGTTTTCGTTGTTCTAATGAGCTATCACTTTTTCCTCTCCTGTATCTAATAATAAACCTCTGAAAGTAGAGGAAAATTCATTCAACCAATGCATTCCTTAGTCTGAGTTAACTGTAGCAGGTCAGTCAGTGAGTGGAGGCTTCAGCTGGAAATGCTAAAGGCCACTATAAATTAATATAAAATAGAAAGTCTTAAAAAGCTATTTTTATCTTTCTGAAAACTGTCCTTGCTTCAGAAGAGACTACTGAGAGTACTCCTTACATTTTCCATTTGAGATATATTTGTAGTTTTCTTCAGGCAAGTCTTTCATAGTTGGCTAAGTGGTGAATTTGAGCAGAGCTAGATTTCATTAACAGCCTTTGATGAGATCATATTAATGCTTGGCAGAACCTCATGTAAATTATACCAAACTGTCAGATTGGGGAACATAGCAGCCACTGTAAGGATGTAATCTAAAAGGGGAAGCTACCATGACTGTAGATCCAGCAACCTG